TGCCTAATTTTGAAGTGATGATTGAACAATCAGTATAGAGGGAGTCAGCTAAGCGTGGGGGGGGGGGGTGCTCTATTGGAAATACATTTTCAGTGTTGGAAAATGTTAACGTTAGAAAGTGATTTCTTTATGATAAGTCTTAAAAAAATTCCAGCCATGTTACATGGAAACTGTTACAGACCAAGAAATAATGAAAATTTGATTGTGATAAATAGTTTGTTTCACCTTAAGGTTGGAGAAGCAGCAACAACAAGCTAGAGAGAAAATAGCTCATCATCAAGCACAGCAAAGTGCTGACAAGATTCGAGCACAGATGGAAGCACAACTTCAGCAGCAACGACAGGCTATGCAGCAGAAAAGGTTGCTGGACTCATCTAAACAGACTCCACAGCAGCTGAAAAATTCAACATCACAAACTCAACCTAAAATTGTAACAGCCAAAACCATCACTGTAGCTCTGACACCTGGTTCTTCAGGAGTAACAACCCTCACACCTCTTTCTTCATTAAATTCATCAGCTGGAAAGGTGATGCTTTATTTTTTAAGGACTTGGCTGTGACAATTCTTCCAAATTGGACCAGCTGTTTAAAATGAGATACTCATAAGTCATGACTTTTTTGAAGTAACAAAATTAAAGTTGGCTAAATCAAAATAATTATAGGTGTTAAATTATGTTTTTAACAAAATATTGTCTTGTGGTATCTGTGGTACATATTCTACTTTTAGATTGTGATGTTAAACAGTGTTGAAATTAAGTCTGAAAAATTTAGGCATAGAAACACTTGTTGAGAAAATAAATTTTACTCTTAATATTATTGCAGTCAGTTTTGAAGCCATGTTCTGTGCTTTGTGCTTGATATTACAGTTGTATTACAATTAGGATTGCTCACAAGGTAATTGAATATCATAAAAGTAGTACTTATTTTGAAGAGATGATTGAAAGGTGTTTTACACTACTAGAATATTGAATAATCCTTATTTAAGTTAATGAAATGAAAACTATTACATTACTGTTTTTTTTCTTTCGATGTCTTCCGAATCTTTTGACTAAAATTCAAGAAATATTGTTTTGAATTTTAGATATAAAGTAAGGTTTTGTTATCTGAAGTTTGGAATTCACATACCTTCCAGTTTTGTAAATACTGCCGTAAAATTTTAATCTGACTATTCAGTTTCCAAATAACTTTGTTACCAGTTAATTAATATTTTTCTTTACTTATGAGTTAGGTTCAGGTTATTACTGCCACCACACCTGGTAAAGCAGGAATTGCTAGTCTGGTTGCAACTGCAAGCACACCAACTGGACAGCCCTACAAAGGTATTCGAAGGATATTTACAACGCGAGGACCAAGACCTGATAAACCAGGGGGTAAGTTTAGTGACCTGTTTGACATTATATGGTTGCTATTTTTATTGCTCGTTATCATTTCTAAGAAAAGTAAATGAATGGTGATACTAGTGTTACTTAAAATTCTGCATCTGTTCATAAAAGGATTTTATGGACAAAAAAACAAAACCAAAAAATAAATTATCAGGATACCACCACTTGAGAAAATTCTTTTAGTCAGCTATAGTATGCATTATTAATAGTATCCTTTAAGAGAATGCTCTTTGAGCTGTGGAATGCAGTTAGTTTGATCTTCAAGAGGAAGTTGTTTGATTAAATGCCTTTTTTGAATTATAGCATAAATATGTCATTTCTAAATACAGTGTGTTTATTATTCAGTACAACACTGTGTGATGCTATATTCATAATGTATTTTATTACACTTAGGACAAGTCGTCACAGCTGTAGCTTCATCTTCAGGTGGGGGTACCACATTGAAGCTTCCAATTGGAGCAGCCATACTTCCCAAATCTCCTCAGATCATAGTACGAGCTTCTACTGCCTCAACCTCCAGTGGAACAGTTTCTGGTTTGGCCACTAAACCAACAGTTCTGGCTGTTGCTGGAGGTGGACAGGTAAACTTGTATAGCAGAAAATTATTTAAGTTTCTTTATTGATCTGTGTTATTTTAATTGAACAGTTTTTAAGCTATAAATTAAATACATTTATTTTGTAAAGAAATTTTCAAACATTTGTATTATGGTTGCCTTTTGAAATTTCAGGCAGTTTGTATTTTTCATGCTTTTATTTCTTATTAACTTCAAGATAAATGCACAGGGTCCCAAGACAGGAATTATTCAAACTCAGACAACACAAGGATCCCCTGTCAGAGCTCAGATTCACATCTTTCAAGGTACAAATGGTCAACTCCAAGTTCGTGGACTTCTGCCTGGTATGTTGTGTTTTCAGCTTACTAAGAGCAATAGTTGATACCACATAGTCCTTTTTTTAATTGGTTGACAAAGAAATAGACATTGGTGGAAAAAATAACATTAAATTATATTATGTATAAAAATTTAAAATAAATTTTGTTGAAAGATTTTTCTGTGAATAATAATATGATAGGTCAACTGGGACAATTCGTTATGTTTTGGGTAGCAGATAATTCCTGCAAAAGAAACCACTATATCAAGTTTGATGAAATTGTGCTTATCCACTATTTGATATTTTTATAAATATTTGTATATTGTATGAACTAGTTTTATGTATTTGTTCCTAAATTTGTGTGTGTATGAAAAGGCATTTAAATTATTGTTTTATGTTATGTAACTGAAAGTCAGTTTTCAAATACTCAGTGTGCTATCTCAGATGTTTGATTATAGAACATGAGATTTATAAATGTTTAGTGTCAAATTAATGCTGAGAAACTATGCTTTTGGATAAATCTTGCATATCTTTTAATTTCAGGTCAGCAGCTAATTCGTATGGCCGATGGACGTCTTCAGTTGCTGACTTTACCAACTGTGCAGACAAGCACAGTTCAGCAAACTGGATCAAAAACACAGCTGAGTACAATCCGTCCTTCAGTTGCTTTAACTTCTGCAGTGTCCACTGCTGTAGTAACTGGTTCTACAGGTGTAGTTTGTTCATCAAGCACTGGCACACCTGTTGCCATATCTTTGCCTGGCATTGGTACAATTGCAGCAACAGCCACTGCAGCCTCTGGGAGTACAGTTCAGCTTGTGACCCAAGGCCAAACCACACAGGCTAAGGTAATATTATTGTACCATTATACAGCTATATATCCCAGAAAATCAAGCCCTAGTATTTTATTTCCTACTGTCTGTTTAGGTAAATAGTAAAGTGTTTTTTGGTATGGTTACTCTTCTTTTCTTTATAGTTTTCTACTGCTATGCATACTTGATCTAATATTTGTGGAAACTTTGGTGTTCGTGTCTACTGCATGTTGTCAATTTTTATTGAACAAAGTTCTTAAATCAACTTACTTTTAAGAATATTTAAGTATTTTGTAAACTACATAAATATTTTATATTGTTTCCAAGTTTCATTTCAGTTGTTAGCAGTGATAATAAGTATTAAGTTCATATGTCTTTTATTTGAGTAACAAGTTGAAAGAGTCATTCAACACTTTCATTACCACAGTTTACAGTATACCGCTTTGACTGAATAGAATTTAGTTCTGTGTCATGACTCAGAGGAGACAAGATAACTTTCTATCTATCTTATATCAGCCCATGCTAAAGAAATAAAAATTAGTGACATTGGAAGTCTTGTGTCAGATGGTTACATCTGTACATCATTTTTATAATTTCACACATTTAAAATCAATTTAGATTTATCATTATCTTTGAATTAATAAAAGGAAAGAATGTAGATCAGATCATCTTTAGATATTTATTTTTCTAGATGTAATGTTTATAGAAGACCACCAATATGTTCAATAAAAGAAAACAGAAATAGAAAATTTGCTGGCTTTAAAAAAATTGCTTGTATATCAGTTTTTGAGCCTACTGTCAGCACTATTGCCTCACCAATTGTTTGTTAACTTCAGATATATTTTTTTAGTTTTATTATTTAGTATATTTCATTTATCAAACCTATAATTGTATGGTAATAAGTTGGTTTTTCGATTATTCTCCAAGTTAACTAAGGATAGAGATGTACTGTTTGTTGTTGACATGCATCTTTAAACTCCTACTTTTTTATGTATATGTTTTGTACAATGTTTATCTAGTTACAGGAAAAATTAACATGTATATCTCTTTGCAACATTTAATATAAAAAAAAAATTTATTTTGCACTTTGCCAATTTTTTTTTGGCTGTTCAGATCCAGTGCAAGTAGCACCTCATGAAAAAGTACTGAGTACCCCAAAATCACATGTATTTTTATGTAATTTTCTTATGAGTTGTTTGAAAGGATAATGTTATATCTCCAGCCCATTTAAGGCTTCTAACAGTAACAGACAAGATATCTAGACAGAGTCACTTTTTTCTTTACTGCCAGTACTTTATTTTTACATTCTTGGAATAAAATATTATTTTAAGGATATTTAATAAGCGTGATTAATAAATTTTAATGTTATGTAGTTGCATCTTTAAAAACCTTGAGGTTTTAAACTGAAAATTCATTAAAATTTTAAAGATACTTAAATATTTGATACAGTAAAAAATATACAGTATACAAACAAACAAGACAGTCATATAACCATAATGCACAAATATTTTAATGGTTGGACTAATTTACTTTTAAGCAACATGGATGATAACTTCTATAATGGTTAGTTATAACCAGTATATTGCAACATTTCTTTGAGTGGACACATTAAATGACATTTAATGTGTCCACTGAAAGAATTAATAAAAATAATAAAAATACCTATTAAGTAGATGTGCGATATGAATAACTTTTTGAGAATCAAACTGCATACATAGCTCTGCCCTTGGTGAAAGCCCAAAGGTCCAATAAAGGTCAACAAGTAAAAGTGAACTCCCAGTCCATAATGGGCTTTCTTTTTGAAGCTCTTGTAATGCACGTTAAATGTCTTACCTTAACAATTTTCTAGTAGACTGCACTCCTGTATTTTCTCCCTTGAAAATCCAGAAAACACGTACAAATTTGCTAATTATGAGCAGAATCTCTTGAGAGATTCAGAAATGAGGTGTGGATGTTCAGTCGAGAAACTTGGTAGAAATGGCAAAGCAGTTGCATCACTTCTTGTTCAAAGCAGCCCATTTCACAGTAGAGATGTTGTTAAGATTTCTACTGTCTGAATTTGGTACATTTAATGCATTAAATTTAATAATAATAATTTTGAATTTTGCTTCATTGGAAAACTATCCTACATCAATAAGTAAGAAATATGCTAAAAATATTTTAATTATGAATTACTTCTCTAACTCAAGCTTAAGTGCTTATTTTAACCCTAGTATAAACTGGAAGTTAACCCTATCAGCCCGGGTACACTTTACTGTGCATGACACAAAGTTTTAGTGTCTTACATTCAAAATTTTATTACACTACTTTTTGTTTATGTTATACCAATTAGAATAGCATAAAATCTTAGCTAATAATCCATATTTTAATAGTATACAAGTTTTAAGTTCTTAATTGTACAAGGAAATATATATATAAAAAATCCTGAATTTCCATTAGTGCGACACGTAACATATTTTATCTTAGCATGTCATCATCCGTATTTTATCCATCACCCTCGAAAATGTACGAAATTAAACGTAAAGTACTCTATATAATCATTATTGCTCAAACAGACCATAATTCTTATAGGCTTCAATTTTGTTTGGTTACAGAGCAATCAAGTAGAAAATCAGACCCCTCCTGTCACATCCTCTCTTTCACAATTCCATGATAGTTTCCTCTTGCATTTCATTATATATTACCTATAACCAATAGAAAGTCAAGGTTTTCGTCTATCAAATGGCATGTTGTACTCTATATAATCATTATTGCTCAAACAGACCATAATTCTTATAGGCTTCAACTTTGTTTGGTTACAGAGCAATCAAGTAGAAAATCAGACCCCTCCTGTCACATCCTCTCTTTCACAGTTCCATGATAGTTTCCTCTTGCATTTCATTATATATTACCTATAACCAATAGAAAGTCAAGGTTTTCGTCTATCAAATGGCATGTTGTATAACGTTGTGTTCTGAACAGATAACCGTCAATTTCACTCGGGGGAAGCAACATCTTTCCCGTAGGAAAGATAACGACTAGCTTGGATGAATTTGTAACGGCTTTAGTTGCGTAGTTAGAAAGCCAGGAAAATTTTTAGAAGTAAGTGAATTTGTTTACTTTTTGAATGTTATTAGTCAAAATTCTTTGGTGTATTATTTAATTAAATAAAAATTGTTAAGTGCTTTACTATAATCACTAAAAAAAAAAAATTAGGCTTAACTCTCCTCGACAATCAAGAGCAAGAAAAGAAGATTGGGTAAGTACTTTATTTCTTGTTTTTCATACTTATTCTTTATCTATTATTATAAATGTAACTCAAATTAAAAATACAAATCTTTTTAAGTTGTTTAAGACTAGATTAGATAAAATAAGTAATAATAATAATATAATTAAAATGGTTCGCGAGGCACGCATGCGAGCTGCACATTCCTCGAGTGATTTGAAACTTATAATGGCGGGATAGCAGTTAGACATGGCTCAAAGGGCAATAAAACAATAAAATTTAATTATAAATAAATGTATAATATTACAAACTTAGAGCTACTTAAGATAAATGAATGTAGTTTCAGGTTACAATTTGAAGTCATTCTAGAAAGAATAGAAGGTTAATTTAGGTTTTTTTTTATAACCTATAAGGATTTAGTGAAGAAAAAAAACGTTTGAAATGCATTTAGGGGGTTTTATGGATTACACAAAGAAAAAGTATTTTTAATTTTAACATAGAAATTACTTTGCACACGGACTATTCAATACAAATACTCGATATAATCATGGACAAAACTTTATTTTATTAGAAATACTTCACTAAGAAATATGAATTTTTGTACGTGAAAGACTGCCAAATTTCGTGAAGATATACCCAATATATAGAGAGTTATAAGTGTTAGATTTATATGAACTTTAAACGAGTACAAAAGGTCACGTGACTCGGTCAAATTATCAACCCCGTGTTGGAAGAGTTAAGTGGTGTGAATCAGAAAAGAGCAGGAAGCTTAACCCTTTGGTTGTCACGTTCTATGATTTGTAGCACGTGATGTCTCTTTCATTAAATTTTATTCTTAAAATAAAATTAGTGGGTGAAATTGTTTGAAATTTGACAAAACGTTCCTAATACTATGTAGATTCAGAAAAGTAAAATATTTAAATTTGATTTATTCTACTATTTATAATAAAAAACATTCATGAAATAAAAATACTATTTCTTTATCTTAGAGTTTTTACATTGCATATTCATAATCTCTAGAACTTCATAAATGAATATCAAAAGTTTTTTAAGGTAAATGTATATATTTTATTGACCATTTTCTCTACTACATCACTAACTCTGTATTATCATCAACCTACAGTGCAATGAAATGTTTAAAATTAACAAAGGAAAATATGCTCATACCTTTCAATTCATCATAGAATTGTTTTCAAACTTCTTTTTCTTGTTGTATGCATAATTTCATGTGTTTATCTTTTCACTTGTAGTCTATTTTAAATTTTCCTTTCAAATTCTTTGATGTTTACTTTTTATGATGACATGTCAATCGATAGTTGCAGGGTTTCAAGATGTAATTTTGGCAGACTCCTACACAGACTCATTGAAAAAACAAGATGGCGCTTACACAATCCAGGTGACAACACGTTAAACTTATAAAAAAAAAATCATTAAACCTTTCAAATATGAATTTTAAAACACAAATAATACATAATTAATTAAAATATGAAAGTAAAACTTAAATTCAATTTAACTGTCTATCAATCTAATATTTATAAGGCAAAAAAAGTATAACCAAATGCTAAGAACGCTGCACTCAACAATGAACTAAGCTTGGTTTGTACGTTATAATACAAAATCCATACAGTGCTAAAGTTTCTTCTTTAAGTTACCCAAATAGAGGGAAATCTGCTCTTTCTATTGGTTATAAGCATACCATTCAACTTCAAACTGTTGCTTAGCAACACAGCTTTAACTGCACAAGTGGGTGTGACTGACCTTAAACTTAGAAAGACAGTAATAAAACATGCCTATGTAATGGACTTTTACAGTTTAACATAACGGTCTATATTAGCTACTCACAGTTGTTTGTATAAAAGTTGAGATTGTAATGGTGAGCAGATCATGTGACAACAAAAACTGTAGTTTTATTTGCTGTTTTAGATTTTTCTTTTTAAAATAAAGAAATAAAACTTAGATAATATAAAAATTGAAATTATAACATACTTGATAATAATAATTTCATTAAAATACATTGATAGTAAAGTGGTTTAATTAAATTTTGAACGTAATGCAATACCAATGCTGAAAGAAATTTAAAAATGGCAGCAAGGGCTGTGGGGTTAAACAATGGCAATGTCTTTGTTCTCCACATTGTAGTTGGATATGTTATTACTGTGTTTTTTTTTGTTATTATAGAAAACAAAACAAAATGCTGAATTGTAGAATTTTGTAGTGCTATGAGTTTTATTCAAACTCGGCTATTTACAATAAATACCTCAGTAATGATATATTGGTTATTTTTTCTTTTTTTTCTCAATATTTGGGAAGATTAATATGAATTTGGTTTACTTGTGGACTACTAAGCATGCCAAGTTTGGTCTTGAACAGTCAATTCATTTAGGAAGAGATGCGTCCACAAAAAGTTTTCTTTGATACTGCAGCATTATGACTTACTATGTATAACACATACGTGAAGAATACCTGTACCCCAGTTTTTATACTCGGATCTGCTGAGTAAATTGAGGCAGAGCTGTATACACAATCTATAAAAAGACAATTTATGACAATCTTGTTACAAGATCAATGATGTTTTGATTAATTCATCAAAGTTGATAGAAGAAGAAAAAAATCAGTTACTATTAACTTGTTTTTGCTTGGTTCACTATTGGATTATTATTATTTTAGGCTCTTTCTTTAATTCTGAATAGAATGTTACACAACTTGTGTTTATAGATGAATAAACAATGAATATTCTGCTGTTTTTGTTTGAATTTCTAATAATAAATATGAAGACTGTTGACAAAACACAAAACATCTTATTTACAATGTTCGAACATTTTAAAAAATTTGTTCCATCTTCAGTGCAGTCTGAAAGTAGTGTTACAAAGAAATTTAATCACATCAACAATAGTATTATTAAACACTAGTTTACTCAGTTATTAAGTAAAATGGTAAATGGAAGGATAAAACAAAAGATTATAGATATATTGCAAAACATTTGAATTTTAAGTGTGTAAATGTAGAATAATTTAGATCTAAAGAGGTTTGTAAGTCATTAAGAGAAGGGTAGGTATTTAGCTATGAGTAAACTTTCTTTAATATAAATTTCAAGGTCTGAATGACAGAGAAATTGTTAAATAAAATGTTGTGACACATGGTTTTAATAGGTGAACAAATGGATGAGTGGCTGGGCTTAAGTAGTGGATGGTCAGTTCTGTTAAATACTCCAAAATGGTCACAGACTAGTTTTCAAGTAGCTTTTTGTTTTGCCTCTATATGTGACCTTACAGTCACTACCTGTATACTTATACATGAGCTAGGACTGTAGAAGTTTAGGTAGTTGATCTTTATATTGAAATAAGCTTTTAATGCAGGAGTTAGGTCTATGTATTAGCTTGGGCTGAATTTGAGGGTAGATTGTTTTTATTGAAGAGGAGAGTTGTTTTTTCATTTGTGAGGATTGTGAACCCATAAAAGGGAAATAGTGAGGGGAATTTGGGGTTGGTGTGCACATTGGCTGGTGGTTGGAATTTGTTGTTTAAGAAATTGTAACATTTGTTAGAAAATCAGTCAGATAGCCTTTATTTAACAGGTGTTTGTGCAGAAGTGCAATTTCTGTGTAAAGTATTATTCTATTTAGTTTGTTTTTTCAGTGGTTGGTATATCATTTTTCAGTATATATTCATTTGATAGAAAAATTGTCAAATTTGATATAATATTAGTATATTGTCAGTATTAGCATTCATAAAACTATGTGACCAGCTGAGTGAATTGCAGAAAAAGCTGTGGACTTACCTGAAAGCATTGAACTCTTTAGGTTTATTGAATATTTAAAAAACTTTTTTTACCCAAAAAAGAAAACTTTGGTTTCATTAGCATTGATTAATATTATTATAGAATGGCTTTGGCTGTCTTATACTTATGTTTAAGGGATTCCTTTTTTATTACAGGTTCGAGCTACAACAACTGCAACAGGAGCTGTTGCTACTGGTGTAACAACAACTGCTGGAACTGTAACAGTAGCAGGAATACAGATGACTCCAAAAGTAGTTCATATCCGGCCACAGGTTCAAGCATCTGGTCAACAACAAACAATTATACAGACCCAATCTCCAGGTAAATGTTGAAGATTTTTGGAATTAGCAGTAACAACACTAAAAATTGTACAAGTTTTGTAATTTATTATAATAATAGTATTTATTGGAAGCATAACCATTTCGCCTGTGTGTGCCATACCATACACTTTTTGTTCATGCAGTTGTTAGTTTGTGCTTTGTTTTGAAATAATTTTGAATAAGAAGTTACTTTTCTCCTGTGAAAAACCTTACGAATTGCTAGTTAGTGTGGGAATTGGTAAACAGTGAAAATTACGCATAAATTTTTTGTAGCACAAAATTGCTTAAACACTGTTTGAATGAAATTTGATGATATAATTTTACTTTCAAAAATAAAACATTAGTCAACTTGGTTTTACACATTTAAGTAGTTATGACTTAGCTTATAGATGGAGCTTTAAGTTTAGTATAGAAATTTGTAAATATCTACTGTATACATCACTTTTGCTTCTATTATTTCAAAACACAATAGCATACTATTCTTTCAGTTTTATACCAATGTATCTATAAGTATGCAACAGCTTCATTAGCATGAACAAAGGGTGTTATAGCCTCACTAATGCTGAAGATACTCAGTTTCATTGGAAGTTTAGTGCAAAAGATTTACACACAGTGTCTCTTACATTGGGCACTTATGTGCTTGATTCAAATGTTGAGAGGCATTGGATGTAACTTTTGCTGAATGTCAGGAAAATAGCACAAGCTCTCACAAAGAGAAGAAAAATCAATAAATTTTTAAAACGATGGTTTTTTTATGTTGAAAGAATATCAATTACTTAATTGGAACAAATGAGTATAATTAAGATATGTTACTGCTTGCACCTTTATTTCACATGTTGTATGAGATCTTGTTCTGTGATAGAACATGTGATATTATCTTACTTTCCAGCTTTATCCAGTTGGGCTTGTACTTAATACTGAGAATAACTTAACTACAATTAAAAGGTGTTTTAATGGTTACAACTTCACATTCTATGAACATGGTAGCTTTCAGTTACTAAATTCAAGTGATGACTTATTTTTTAATGTGTTCCAATTCCACTTTTCACACTGTGGCAACATATATTTATATAACCTATAGCTCTTAAATTGTAATGTTATTGAGGCACTTAACACTTATTTATCTTAGTGTTTCAGTAACAAATAATTTCATTGAACCAATTCATTACCATTTTAATATGTAAATTTAGTAATCAAAATCTGAATCTATGAAAATTTTGACTCCATAAGTCTGATAATTTTGCAAATAAACCTTTATTTAAGACTTTTTTTTCATTTTTCAATATAAAAAAAATTCTGATATAATGCTAACTATTAGTTTTGTTCTTCTAAAAGAAATGAATTGTAATTTTTATTCATTTCTATCACTGCCAATTGATTTGAATTGAAGCCTGTGATGTTTATATGGTAATCTCTAAAAAACTATTATTTGAATGAAACTAAATGTTTAAAGCTGTGTTTTTGTTTAAAAGGAATTATCTGTATAAGAGATTGTTTTTTAATGTTTTCCTGTAGAGTTGAAATTTGTAACTCTCAGGAGGAACAACACATTTGATGTTAAGTTTTGAAAAATATGCAGAATTCTATACGATTTTGGTTGAATTTCTGTATTTTGATAGATTAGTAACCTTTTATTTTATGAGTTAGATAAAACTTATTCTACATAAGTGGATAACTAAATATATTTGAAATAGCATTTCATTTACATTAATTGGTATTTTGCTTCTATTGTAAAACTAGTGAAGTTTGTATTTTGTTTTATAATTTAGCTATAATTATTTTTTTGCTAATTGCAGTTCGTCCAGCTGTCCAACCTAGTGTCCAGCAACTTCGCCTTCAAAATGCCACTGTAAATATCCCTGGTATTGGTACTGTAATAACTACACCTGTTGTATCAAGTACATCACCAATTGCTGTGGCTTCTGTGAGCAAAAATAGTTCAACAGAAGCTCAAGTTTTGAGTATTGCTCCAGGCCAGTTGACCGTGTCTGGAACCACAACATCCATTCCTTCAACTGTCTCCATTCTCAGAACAACAGGTGCAGCAACTAAATTGCTGACATCATCATCTTCAGTAAAAATAGACACCAAGAAGCTTATGACAGCACCATTACAACTGTCCCTTTCTACATCAAAAACTTCAACAGCTCCGCAAATAAGTATTGGATCCAAAACACAACCTTCAATATCCCCTACAAGTTCTTCAGTAGGTGGTGGTGGCTCACCTCCTTGTTCTCCAAAGCAGTTTGTCTTAACGCCTGCTATTACTCAACAGAGTGAGTAGCTCAATCATGTTTATTTTGTCATGTGTGGTTTGGTATTGTAGTGTTGAAAATTTTAAATGAAAGCTTGATAAACTGAATCACACACACAGAAGATTTTCCAAGTATACAAACACTTTTTTTTTGTTATTGCTGTTTAAATGCAGATTTTGATTTAAGAGTACCTTCTAATTAATGAAACAGTATTTTAGTGTTGAGAACTTGTATTCATTTTCTAATGGTGCATATCCAAATGTGAATAGTTCATGTATTTAAATAAAATAAAAAAAATTGATGCATTCTGTTAATAATGTTCATTGGGATTACAGTATATCAATTTGTTTAAAAAAAAAGGAAAAGTATTCGAATTTTATTAAAATTTTGCCTGAGAAATTAAGAACTGTAAACATCTGTAAATAATACAATTATAAAAACAGAAATACTGTTCTGTTGTTGAATTCCTGCCCAGTTTATTAAAGGGAGTAATGGATGTTTTAGTAAAGATTTGCTAGATAAATCAGCTGAGAGAGATCCAAACACTTAGTTTTAATCAAAATAACTTTTAATTGCACCTTTTTTTTCTTACTTGGGTAGAAACAGCTAGAAGAGAATGGTAACATACACACTCAAGTATATGTTAGTATTGTGGAAAATGAGTTTATGAGCTCTATAAAACAGTATTTTCCTATTTTAATGCTGCTTGTCATATATTTTTTGGTAATTTTCTTTTCTTTTTTGGTATAAAAAAAATTATTTTATATTTTTACTTGTAGTGTATAATTAGTTAATGCTATGAGTGAATCAGAACATGGGGTGGCCTTGTGAATTTATATTTTCAGCTGCTATATCTTTTCAATCGCAAGACTATCAGTTTTTCAAAACTCGTGACATTCTATCTTGTAGACCAATTTTAAAAGTAACTGATAACGAGAAAGGGATTTAAATTTTTTATTTTTGTTTATTTGGATTCATTAAAATTAATTTTTTCAATAAAAATATTGGAATATTCTTTGGATAATAGTATTTTCTATTTATCAATGCATCAGTAAGAAGAGGTTTAATACAGGGAATATTTTGATTTTTTGAAGTTGTTCGCCAAGCTTTGTTAAATCCTCAGACATCTCCTGAAGTTCAGCAGAAACTTATAGCTTTACAACGACATCATCAACAACAGTTGCAGAAACAACAGAAAGAGGAAGGTGTTGTACCCCAGACAAGCACTGTAGTAACAACCGATAAGAACAAGGCCAAAATTATTCTTTCTCCAGAACAGAAAATCAGCAGTTTCAGGTAAGATTTAATTATTTATATTAGAAACATTATTAGATATCCTGAAAGTTCTTGATGTTGTTAGCTTCTTTAGAATTGGATATAGGATCTTGACAGGCATTATGGTAGCATCATATATAAAGAGCACTCAAACTTCATAACAAAAACATTTGTTGTTTGAGATAGGGGTTGTATATAATGAATTTTAGTATCTACCTAATAGAAATGGTTTTGTGTAGTTTTAAATCTGTGTTGTAGTATTAGTAAAATACGAGTTATTGCATAATATACATATTGTTTAATCTTATTTAGACCATAGAGAACCTTACAGATGTCATGTGCATACCTGAATAACAATTTTTATCTCGGAAATATTTTAGAATTATATTTTGTAACATTCATTCAGTGTAATCCTCAAGGAAAATGAAAAAGTTACTTCAGCAATTTGTTCCCACTTTTTATGATGTCACAGCATGTGGGCTGAACAATTACTAATTTAGAAAACTATGAAAATAGTTACAAATAATGTTTAAATAAGATTGGATAGAGCAACTTGTAAACTGGTTACATCAATATAGAGTGAATAAAATTATGTGCATGGTAATTTATGGTTTTGTGAGGAAGTAACTATCTGGAGTTCCTGGAAGAGTGAAAAAAATGGAATCTTATGTGAAGTTTAGAAGACTTAGTTAGGAACAAACTACAGATTTGGGGAAAAAAATTATAGTTTGTTTAGACTTTTTTTTTTCAATCATAAAAATGTTTTCGTATTAAATTATTTCTTTTTGAAAGATACAGAAATTTTCTTCTGTCACAAAGTAAGCAGCTAAGTTAGGTTTAGCAATGACATTGGATAATGGCAACTCAGATCCTTAGTTATGTAATATTATTAAGTTTATTGTATCCAAACAATGCACATAAATAAAAGAACTTGTTATTTATTGAAAAACAACTATATTTGTTAGATATAAATGTAACTTGATCTGGACCAAGAACATTGTTAGCAAAAATATTACCTAGTCTAATAAAGGTAATGGTAATGCCATTTTGAAATGTCAAGTCATAAGTCACTTGTAAACCTTTCAGTTTTTGCTGTGGTTTTTACTATCTATAGATGTAATTGGCGAAATAAATTATCAAAAGAAATATGTTGATTAATATTAATTATATTGAGACTTATTGGATATATATATAATATGGAACTTTTTGACCAGCAGTGAAAAAATTATGAAATTCTAAGAAAGTATTTTTTTAATATTCTTCCAAAACAGTGTCTTGCAACAAAATTTTGAAAATTTCATAACATGAAAAATTATAAACTAAATTAAATTATTATATTTTTCCAGTAGAAACTAGATATTGTTTAATAAACCAGTACTAAGTGTTCATGTGATTTGATTAAGTATTTGTGATGTGGAGAAGAAAAGTAGAGATATCAGTGATACCCTTCTGGTCTGGAAATGGTTAAATGAAAATATAAAGTATAGTTGTTTTTTTATGCAAAACAAATGAAATTTCGTACTGATGATAATGTACATCATTCTGTCTACTGCAACAGAAGTATACTATGTATCCAAAAATATGTATGAAGTTTGTGAGACACCCATAGTGTTCATATTTCCTTTACCAATATAATTTCAGCTTTATTTGGATCTGTCTTACTTCCTACAGTATATCCATATATTTTAACTGTTACATGTTTAAGGATGAATGTATGTCAACAAGTGATGAAAAGCATTCTCGATAAAATTGAAAGGGAAGAGAAAAGTCAGCAGAAGAAGCAGAAACAGAAGGAGTCAGCTGAAGAGAAGAAGATGAGAATTAATACCAATAAGCTCTACTCTGCGCTTTTCAAACACACAGAGGCCTTACGCAAAGAAATCATGAGAAAGAGACAGTTACTGGAAAAAGAATTAAGGCAACAGGTCAAGGTTGGTTGAAGTATTGTCTGGTCAGATACTGTAGTTTAGTAAAATATCAATGTATTGTTATAAGATTTAAACAATAGTTCCTATATATATTTATTTATATGTTGTTAAGTAATTTATAGTTCTTGTTATCTTGTAATTAAGAGTCTACAGATAAAGGTTGGTTGTTTCATGATTGTAGAAGTTAAGAGTGATTTTACTAACAAAATTTCTACTGTGATGCTAAGTCTAACATTGTTTTAATGGTTTTTAGGTGTAACTACCATGGCTACACCCAGTTGTGGAAAGTGAATGGTAGTAGGTTTTGAGACTGTGGGCTCTAGTACCTAAAATGTAGTCCCTATTTGATTTTCCATGCTAGATATCTTGTTTATCATCTGTGTTTTTTTTTATTATGTCTGATAGATGTAATATCTATCACCAACACTTTTGGAAGCTATTGTAGAGCTATTCTGTATTTCATAGCAATTTCATTTCTCTGATAGAAAATAATTTTGTGTTGGAATGAATAAAAATTATTTTATTTTTTGATAAAAATCTTTACAAATATGCACCTAGAGAAACATACGCATATACATTATGTTAGCAATTAGAAGACTTGCATTTAGGAAGTTCAATTAACTCTTTCAGCATGGGCTCGGTCCATAGGACCGACCTTGTAACCATTTTGTACTTGTTAAAGTTTTCATGCTTTAACTCTTAAACTGGTAAGCGTGTGTTAACAAAATTTGACAGATTATCAGTAAACATTACAATGCTTTCATACGCAAAATGTTAAAAAAATTTTTTATAAGGTCTTAAGGTTTGTAAAGCAATGTTTTTCTCATGCCTTTATTTTCTTTTCACATGTTGCCTATAAGCCATGATATTATTTTAATCAAGTCTTCTAAAAATATGTTATCTATTTATTGTAGTTATTTGCACTCAAACTCTGAATAGTTTGAGAGTATGATGATTTTCATTTTAAGTATAAAAATACTTTTCTTCATCTTAGTTTTCAAGAACCTTTTAAATGAATGTCAAAAGTTATTTATATATATATATATATGCAAACTAATTTTCATTTTAAGTATAAAAATACTTTTCTTCATCTTAGTTTTCAAGAACCTTCTAAATGAATGTCAAAAGTTATTTATATATATATATATATGCAAAGTAATTTTCATTTTAAGTATAAAAATACTTTAGTGCATCAGAAATTTTCAAATTTCATATGCAAAATTGTCATAATGTCCAGATAGTTATGAAACATTTCTTAAGAAAAAACTTTTATTTATATATTTATTATTTTTATTATATTGACCTTTCAGCCATGCATGGCTAACAATACAGAACTTACAATGATGCAGCTCATGTGCACTCATGTTACTGTATCAAATTACATAAAACTGTACATTACATAATTTGACATATCGTATTAAACCGTTGCTTTATAAAATTACTCACTTGTCATGTAGGATTTTACTCCTGATGATGGTAGCATAAACCTACCAAAACATATTTAGACTTTTTAATTTTGGCCGTCTGCCAAATAAACATTTTATTATGCATTTTAAACATTGATCTTGTTTTTAATTTTAAAAGCACTTACAGTTGTTTCTTACCTTTTTTTTTAAATATTCAAACCTTTCAATTATGCATTTTCAAACACAAATAATGCATAAGTAAAACCTAAATGCAATTCAACTGTCTAACTATAACATCTTTTATTCAAACATTGCCCTAGTTCTCAAGGTTTACGATCTTGCATAAGTGTAAGATAATTTTACTGAAGGCTTATGCATGTGACAAAGATACTGTAATATGATTTGAAGGCATTATGACTTGTGTCAAGATGAATAATAAATGGTAAAGGACAGGAAAGGAAAATAAAACATTAAAAATTAAGTATATGTAAAAAGAAAGACTTGAAATTGCAAATATCACCAAAAGAAGATCTTTTAAGATATTCTACGAATTAAAAGGTATGTACATTTTTCTGTTTCTTAATTTTAAGCATTTCATTGCACTGTATGTTGGTGATAATATCTACAGTTAGTGATATGGCAGAGAAAATGAAAAATGAAATATATATATTTACTTTAAAAAAACTTTTGGCATTCATTTAGAAGGTTCTTGAAAACTTTAAGATGAAGAAAAGTATTTTTATACTGAAAATGAAAATCACCATACACTCAAACTATTCAGAGTTTGAGTGCAAATAACTACAATAAATAGATAACATATTTTTGGAAAAAAGACTTAATTAAAATAATGTCATTCTTTGTGTAGAAGGTACTTATAATCTTTAACAAAATCTCAGAGTTATTGTATGTATTGTTGCACACGTATCATTTCCCATTTGGGTTCCTGCAAATTGCAGGAGACTGATGTGTAAGAGTTAATTGAATTACTTTTTCACCTAAGGAATAACAGTGTCAAAAACACTCTTAGCTTCTTTAAAACCTAATTTATTTCCTAATTTGCTATTAATTATTTATAAGTTTTAATAAATAACCTGTGGTTTAACCCGTAGTCTGAAGAGGAATATGAATCAAATCTTGAAAGCAAGGCTGTCTCTCCTACTTCACCACCCAAACCTAAACCTGCTTTACTTACTCAAAAGCCAGTGAAAGAACCAGTTCCAAAACCACCTAAGAAACGAAAGATGACATATTCTACTGAAAGCAATGATTACGTGGATAATGACAAGTCTGAGCAAATAATATCGGATGTACCAAAACCCAAAAAATCCAAAATCTCTCTAAAAATTCGTAGTCACAAGTTATGTCATCTTTGTCGGAAGCCTAATGAACCTTCCAGGTAGGATGTTAATCCATATTTTGCTGCAATTCAAAATTTAATCCAAATTTAAAGAAATATAGCTCAGTTTTCCAAGTAACTTTGAGTATCTTTTAAATGTGAAATGAAAAAGTCTAATAGTACAGAGTTTGCTTAAGTAAAATTTACTTGTTAAAGATGATTGCTGTGTCTTTCTTATTACGGAATTTTGGAGATCTACCTGATATTTTTATTTTCTTTGTAGTATGAAATGATACTACTATGTACAAAGTTTATTTTGAAGATTAAGTGCTATATGAATTATTTTATCAATAGAAATTTGTACTATGTTATACGAACATTTCCAAATGTTCTTGAAATCCTGGAAAGTCATGAAAAATGAGCTCTAAAAATTTCAGTAGTGGAAATTCAGGACAGAGTGTTATTCTTAAGTCATGGATCTGGAAGAGTCCTGAATTTTCAGTTTTCTCCAAGAAATTCCCCCTATGAAATAATTGGTTTAATTTTTTTTAAATGATACAAAGAAGAATATGTTTGGTTATCATAGTTGGATTTGTTTATATTTTGTATTGCCAATTGCAAATATTGTGCCTTGCAAGACCTGAAATTGTTACAGTTTCCACTAGTGTACATGTTTGATGAATGAAAATGTCTACAAAATGTAAATTAATCTTGCATGGCATTATTTGAGGGTCACAGAAATTTGAGTGTAGGTCCTTGAAGAAGGCCTGGAATTTCATTTCCTAAATTGTATGTAACTTGTTGACTAGTGTATGTTATGTTTATTTGAAAATAATAACATATGTATATTATGTCATACCTCAGTTTTATTTTTTATTATTATTTTTTTTTCTTCCAAAAACTAAATATAACCAAATATGATTTTAACAATGTGTCTGTTAAGCATTTTAGAGCAGTGATTCTTAACTAATGGCCCATGAGTTGCATAATTATGGCCTATTGCAAACCAGGACAACTGTGACTGCCCTAAACAAACAAATCATCAATTACATATATGGACCTTTAGTATTGTGCCAAATAATTAAGTGGGCTTTGAGATGCAGAAGGTTGAGAAACTGTTTTAAAATATATAAAATTATGATTGATTAAGTATTTCTTCTTGCTATGAATTAGTACTACTAGCAGGCTGAAGGAATAATTTATTGTGTTTGATTAATCACAGTTAATTTCCTGTGAGGTTGTGTTTTCAGTAGTCAATAACTCACTAATATTGGAACTGAAAACTCATAAGAATATTATCTTAGGGATTTATAACAGTATTAATTGGGGCTAGTGTACCTAACACAATTAAATGAGACTGATTTTTTCATATTGTCAGTATGTAGTCATTTTACATAAAATGAACAATGTTGATCTCACCAGAATCGTATTTTTAAATGTGCTGTATTTAACCTTATGCTAATGAAACCTAGTATTGTACTTTTTATAAAGTGTGGTTATGTGTACAGTTTGTATGGTTTTCACAAAACAAAGAAATTTATCTTGTTCATTTAACATGAAAGGCATGTAGACAGTTGTCACTTAAGAAACAATGGTTTGGTGCTTTTAATGTATAATTATTAAACAGGCTTAATGTTGCAATTATGACTAGAGTTAAAGCTAAACACTTTAATTTCTAAAGAAAGAGAACATTTACATTAAGTTTCATTAAAGTATTTATAATCTGCATTAAGTTCTTAATTTTCAACAGAGTATTTCACTGTAATTTGGAGTTTGTTTATAGCAGAACTAGAACAAAATATATAAAGACTGGAAGAGACATTTTTTTAATGGTATTAACAAATAAATTCATTGTGTTGTTTCCATTTTCATGCTTACCAGCAGTAGATAAAATGTCATTTTAAAACTGTTTTTCCATGTAATAAGACATACCATCATTATATGTTGCCTTTACCCTTTAATAACATGTCACATGGACTATGAAACTTACCTGTCTCAATAAACTTCATCTAGATTCATGGCTGCCTGTGATGTATGTTGCAACTGGTTCCACGTTGATTGTGTTGGCCGGACTGAGGAGGGGGTAAAAACTAGAAAGAAGTTTGTGTGTGTTGACTGTGAACGTGGTGATGATGAAGAGCTCTATTGCTTTTGTCAAAAGCCATATGATGAGTCACAGTATGTAACTTGCTGTAATTCTGTCATTTTCATGTCTTTTTTTTTTGTTTGTTCTTGTAGTGTAGGGTTGTGTTATAAGCTTCATTACAGTTCATTCCGTTTTCAAGTGTTTTTGAAACATAAACATCTGATGTATTATCATAAGTCTAAGCTGTATGCTTATTATTATTATTTGTACACTGAAAATGTGAAAAGTGTAAAACTGCTTGTAGGGTGTATATTTCTTGTATTTTACAAGTGATGATGAAAATGTTAAGAACCAGGGACAAATAACTGGTTGGATATTGCTTTGTTGATACCTAGAACAATCATATACCATTTCCATCGTTGGATTATCTTGCAGTATTATTCAGGCATGATACTACCTGCATGATAGTAGGTACTGAATCATCTAGCCCACTTCTTTATACTAGACCCCCCTCCCCTTTTGTTATTATTATTATTACAGTATGGTTATTAGCAATGATAAATTTACAAGTATATTTGCTCTGCTTTTGTAGAATATCTGAGAAAAATTACAGCTGTATGTTTTTGTTAATTTACATTTTTGGCACTTTCAAAAAATTATTCCATAAGAAAAACTAATGTTATTGTAATAAATATTTTATTTTTTAATGCTTAAGCACAAATATCTAATTAGTCATACAAATACCAAAACATTTTATTATTATAAAAGAGTGTTTTCCATAGTATCAATTTTAGAATGCCAGAGTGAATGCTCCATAGTACTTTGGAAACATATTTCTACATCATTGACCAAAAACTTGCCGTATATGGTGCTGTAGATATTTTAATTTGTAACTATAAATTCTGTCGTGTCTTGTAAGTTAATATTGATGAGGAAGACCTAACTTTAGTTTTTTAAGATTTACAATGTTAAATCTTACATTGTTTAGTGAGATGGTGTTTATGTATAAGATTTAGATCTTACAGTATCTACTAGTCGTGTCTGTATGCAATACTTACAGCATTAAGTTTTATCATGTAGAGCTAGATAACTGCTATATACAAGACTTAAAATTTTAGATCCTGTAATGTGTATTACAGTTTAAAAAATGCTAATTTCACTTTTCTGTAACTAGAAAAGAAAATATATTTAAGTCTGTTCATGTATGTTCTTCTTGTAAGTAGGATATTTAAGGTCATGAACTTTTGTTTAGACGAAGGTTACGACAATGAGTGCTCCGTAAGGCTTATATGTGCTTGATCCCATGTCTGTGTCACAACTCCCTTAAATTGAGGAGTGTACAGAAATTTGTATATCTTCGCATGATTTGGAGATTTATCTCCCATGAAAATGTACAATGGGAATGATTATTGATGTAGGTAATCAAGGGTAATGGGATATTGCATTGGAAACTGTTCTGACATTATTCTTGCTCCTGTTTGTGCCTTGAGTAGATGTGTCTGGAAATTCCCTCTGTTCTAACAGCCAGTAGAAATCTGTTAGAACCAAGCATAAATTTATAACCATTCCTTGAGAAAAAAAAAGTCAATACTCACAATATTTCAGTTTTTACACTTAAAAAGGTATATATTTCTTTGCCTTTTTTACCAATGCTTTCACCATCAGTACAGTTACACTTCGGTGCCATTTTTATGGGCTTCATTTACATTTAAGTATTCACTAATGTGCTTTTACAAAACAGTATTATTTACTTTAAAACACTTAGAAAATATATATTTTATTACTTTAATAATAACTAATGTATAGTATTGCAACTCATTTAGGAATACTGTATGTACTAATTCTATTCACTATACATTTTTACAATATTATTTAAAAAGCATTTAAAGTCATGCTTTCACTATTTAGGAATTAGTGGAACTACCCAAAACAATAAAGTGTGTGGGGTATTCTTCTGCTTTGCCTATTCAGTTGTGCGACAGTTCCTTGGGAGACTAGTTCAAATTGCAGAAGTGTAAAACAGTGGTGTGGATCTTAAATTTTGGTAACTAAAAGCTGGCTTTGGAAGGTCAGAACTGCAGTTGTCAAACATGTGGATTTCAAGGGTTAGGTACAGTGAGTTTGGTAAAGCCCCAGTGTTTTAATCACTTTATTTTTATATATATCTTTACTAATTCAAGTTCAGTTTATTCTCTGCAAAACTTTGTTCTGGAATCTGGTGTATATTGTGGATACTACATAATTATCTATTACTGATCACTGTAACCTGGACATGACATGCATAATAGAATAATATCCAGTTGTAAGATTCTGAAGTTTCAAGTTTTTCTTCAAGTATCTTTTTAAGAATTATCATTAACAATATTACTACAATATTTAATAATTTAGCTTTGCACATTTCTAACTTACTAATGCATTTTGACAGGTTTTACATCTGCTGTGATAGATGCCAAAACTGGTACCATGGTAGATGTGTAGGAGTATTGCAGAGTGAGGCAGACACAATTGATGAGTATATTTGTCCAACTTGTCAAGGTAACACTGACATCAATCAGGCCAATATGAAACAACTTGAGTCAAAAGATTATGAACGCCTTCAAAAGCTATTTAAAAGTTTACAGGTACAAAAATTAGTAAATAACTATAATATTTTGTCAGTTTTTAAGGCCTTTTAAACAATTATAATGTTCACTTTGCTTTAATTTTCCATTCAATAAGTTTCAACTTGCTTTGAAAAATGTTTGTGAAAAGATGTTTTGAGTAACATTTTGTTATATTAAAACTAATTACTAGTTTATGACTATTTATATTGTTACTTATTACTTACTCTAAATGGTAAAGCATTTTAGTTTGGATTTTCATAAGAATTGTAACAACTTTTTCTGTATAATATATGAAAAATATAGTATAACATAATACAATTATAATAGATGGAGAATAAGGCAGGCAGAACACCACATTGTTAAGTGAAACCTTTGAAATGTATTTTTTTTTTATGCAGTAATATAATTTATCACCAATATTGTTAATAAAAGCCCAACTTAGATCACCATCCAAGTTTGGTGTGGAAAAAGGTTTTCACACTAAGTGATTTTATATGCAAACTAAATACATATTATATTACCTTATTATTCAAATATTACAGAAATTAGCTTTCAACTTTTAAACATTGTGTAATATATTAGAATGTAACAAAAATAAAATTTTATTTCAGATTTCTAATAATAGCACTAGCAGTAAGGTACACATTTTTTCCTCAGAATTAACGCTTGATCTTGCCACAGAAATCAATCTTGCTGCAAGAGAAATTTGGTTAGAAGGTGACATATGTGCTATGAAACACAAGGTTACCATAGAACTGACTTACAGTTATTCAGTTTATTTCAGTTATCTCTGAATGCATTGTCAGTTTTTATAGTGAGACTTAGAGACATGGATTGAAAGATAATCTTATGGCTGGAGCTTCTCTTTTTGTTATTCCAGTCTTTGTGTTACATTCAAGCATGCTTCAAATGTAGCAGATCAGATATTAGTTATGGCAGTAGCTTGCTGTACTTCTTAAGTGTTTTTAAACCTGGGCAATAAAGTAAGGCAGGTTTTATTAAAGTGTTTTCACTTCTCACAATCTATCTTGTTTAATGGATTTCAATATTTTTGGTTCAACTTTCTAAGTTTTATTATTTGTATGTAAACAGAGATCATCTTAATTGCTGGTACTCAGACTAACCTGTAACTTGTTTTTTTATAGTTGTTGCAAACAGTTTTGATTGTTGAAATTGATATTCCAGAATGTAATGTAACTCGTGATGTAATGGCCACATAAATCCTTGGAACTAGCATTTGTCCATCTCTGAAAATATACCTCTCTATATTCATAATAAATTTTCGAAATTCTGATAAAAAAAAAAATTGTGAACATTATAGGAATACACAGTACTACAACTACTTTCATATGAACTTCGTATTGTAAATATATCAGTGGTAAAAAGTATCACATTCTTTCACACTGCTTCTCTACTTCAATCTAAATTTTCACACACACACATGCACAAATTACCAAAACTGGTCATGTTACTATTTTGTAGTGATATTTATATCTCTAATGTTTCTAAACATTATTAATAATAAGTTTTAATTACATGCATGTGTGCAGGGGATGGGAGTGGGGATGTTTTGGGTGGTAAAGAGCTGCCTAGTACTGATTAGTCTGCATACATGTTTTTTAAGAAAGAAAAAAATTATATCTTATCTGTTATTTTCACTAACGAATATCCGATGGGTTTGGTCGATTTGACCAATCTCGTAACCACCATAAAAAATGAGGAAATAAATATAAATTATGCCTTTTTCGTTCTAGAATGACTTCAGATTATAACATAATATATAATATGGTTAATATAAAACTGACCTTTAGTCTCAACAAAGTGACCTGTCATGGTTGTGTTTTAGTGGACTAGTATTTTGTAAAATACAGTCACATTTCAATTATTATACATTATATATGTATATAGATTATTGCTATTTTGAAACAAGTTCTTAGTTATTTTTCCTAGAACATAGAACAGTAAATAAAGAAGTGAAGCAATTATTTTTTCTAGTCCTGACCTTTGTACTCGGTTGCTTCTTATCATAGCTTGCTAAGCCTTAAGAAATTTTGCACATGAAGGATTTGAAACAAAGTAATTTTTTTTAGGTTTTTGATTACATTTGAATAACCAAAAAACATAAATTACTATATTGATACCAAAGAATTCCATTATAATTTATCAAGCTTAGTAATTAAGCTGTATTTTGGAATGAAATATCAAGCAGACTAAACATACAACCTACCTCCTTGAAATCTTGTTTCAAAAGAAGGAGATGGCATCCTAAAACTTTAAAATGGCTGAGAAAGTCACTAGGGGGACATTCTGAGCTTTCAATTGGTTATTCACATGTCGTATACATAAATATATATATATATATATATGAGAGACTGTTTCCAAAAATGGTAAGAGATGAGCAGGGTTCATGGGTGATATATCAGCAAAGAGAAAAGATAGGAGGTTCTTATTTTGTATTCCAGCTTGTCAGTTTCGGTAATTTGAGTTCCTAATTTGTACAAGGCTATAGAATTTGTATTTTGACATCACAAACATCTAATTTGAACCAGTGCTGCATTCAACATATGAGGTGACACACAAAAATCAGTGTTTAACTGTGTTTTTTTTAATATTCACTTTAAAATTAAGAAATTGAGTAGGGTATACTACTGAAATTTGAATTATAATCTACAGTTTGATACCAAACTTAATGACATAAATGTAAAATAGTAGTTCAATAACATTTTGAATGCGAGTCAACAGATGCGATGACATGGTCTTTGACCCATTACCTGTGTGGAAAGGGTTAATAAACTCTCATAGATCACTATTTTTTTAACCCAAGATGCTCACCTTTTTCAATCCACTTATCAAAATTTGTTGGCATAGTTATATGGCGTGATTGTAATATCTACACTATTTTTGCCACTACTACAGTTGTATTATATATAGGCCTACTTCTGCTATCATTCCCATCTTCTTCTACTGCCATTTATCACTGTATAATCCTGGTTGGCTTGCCAAATGTCAGGTTTTGAATATGGGCTGGGATTCTTTTACAGAAGATGTCTGAGATTTGTTGGCGATAATGTCAACAATATAAAGACAGCACACAATCCACTTGTTGTAAAATGATTATTCAAGTCAAACGTATGTACAAAAATTTATTTCATCATTGGTTATTGAAGTTGTAATCTAAAGCTTTAAATAATTCTCTTTCTTGTCAAAAGTCCACACTGGCTTGTTCAGTTACTATAGAACCCATCTGACAAGACGAATTATTCTTTTCTATCTCTGTTGTTACAATACAAGCTGTGAAACTCACTTCAAAATCACAACTGTAACTTCGTTATCACTGTTATATCCAGAGCTTTAAATAATTCTTCTTTTTGTCAAATTTCACACAGGTGGGTTTAATTACTTTAGAACACCCTTTGCCAAGACAAATTATTTTTCTTTATCTCTGTTATTACAATACAAACTGTGAAACTCTCTTTATATATTGCCCATTATGGCCAAACTGACAACCATGCAGTCTACTCTACTCTCACTAACTTAACATTTTCTGACTTAACTTGTGCTCATTTATTGCTCTACTAAGCCTATAACTTTCTACAAACTATGAAACACTATGATATAACAATACTCACTTAAGGCAATGAGAAAAATACAGAAGGTTTGAGTAATATGATGTCAAATTACAACAATTGAACTACACACACAAAGTACAACTCTTACCGAGTTATGTAATGAAATTTGTCATAACTGTTGCCTTTAAAATAATTTCTTTTAACACTCTTATGAGAACTAAATAATCATTAGATATTAGATCACTAAATAATAACTCTTATGCTAAACAGTCTTGTATATACAACAAAGTTTTTGGTTGTTTATGATCCAATTGATTGTAGGTAAACAATAACAATACATGATTGCATGGAATTTTTAGGTGATTTTTTTTGTTTTTTATGGAAATATAAGTAAAACCAAGATAGGTAAGTAGAAATTTGATTTTTTTAATACATAATGTATGCAAACTTTGCATAAAAGTATTTAAATATCCAAAATAAGAAAATATTTGACACACTTAACAACAAATGGTGTGATAATTAATTTGTAGTTTATGTATACACTTGTATACGTTGAAAGCCTTTTTCAAAGCATATGGCTCTGTTGATCATTTCTAGTAATGTGAAGTGTCTTGCTTAGATCCATGTGGTAAATAATTACACGTAGCAAGACTTATTTCATTGGGTGTAAGTTAAAGGAACATGGTATTGCTGATATAATTGAACACATCACATTACACTCAGTTTTCTATAGGTTCTCAGTTTCATTTTCTTTTTTCATTCCAAAGATAAAAACAAGCATTCATTGTATTTTTTCAAATTTTCTATTAAAACAAAGTCACTATATGTGATTCTTACATATAGTAAATTATTTTATATTAGCCATACTCTAAATTTTACATTTTCTACCACAAAGGCATTACTTTTGAGTGCAGGAATTTTGTTTGTTGTCTTATCCTTTCACTGTTTTAGTCGTTTTATTTCTTAAACTCACCATACACTGAATCTTTTTTTTAAGGAAATAATAATGCTTTTTTAATACTAGAATCACAAAAATGCATGGCCTTTCCGAGAACCAGTGAATCCTAAAGATGTTCCAGATTACTACAAGGTCATAAAAGAGCCAATGGGTAAATATGAATAATACTTGAAGGCAAGATGACATTTCTAGTTTTATGACTATACCAAAATGCATAGACGAATATAAGATAAAGAAGTAAAAGTATGTCAAAATGTTTGTCAATGTAAAATAAGTGTTGTTTTTTTTAAAACTGTAGATATTAGGCATAACGTATTTAGGTGTCTTATATTTTATTGAAACCAATCTGCACCAGTGAGCATTTTCAGGTCTTGAGTGCACACCTACATTTAAAATTTCAGTAGGTTTGTAAAAATTACTGTTTCAGTCATTTTTTATTCAAAAATATTTTTAAATTGATGTTTTGTCATTTTGTACCATTCATTTAGAGTACTTAAAGAGAAAAATTAAAATAGTATTCAAAATTGTATTTCTGCATGGTTCTGAGGAATCATGTCTGTAAACAACAATCTTTAATAAAAAAAAGTCTTGTTTATAATTTTTTTGCCCATTCCAAAATTCAGGTTTATATTTGTTAAAGTCATCCTTTGGGAATATAATTCTCCAGGCCTTCTTTTCGTCTGAATGTCCTTCTCTTTCTCTGTCCTCCTAGTGGCTCAGCTGTATGTCTAAGGGCTTAAGTGTCAAAAATCTTGTATCGAAATCTGTGGTTGGTACAACACAAGCAGCCCACTGTGTAATTTGTGTTTAATAACAAAAAGAAACAAAATAATAAGTAAATTAACTTTATATTTATTGAAATACACACCAGTGTGTCAGGTCAGGTTATAGTTAACCAAGAAATCTTTGTAAGTTTCACTATTTGTTATGACTTAGAGCCTCAAATGGTGATTGCTAGAGTTGGCAAAATTAAGTACCAAAAGAGATATGTTACTGAATATCAACCAAGTTGAAACTATCTGTTTGTAACACTGTCTTTTTAGGTAACACTCAACTCTTTGTTGGTAATATTCATATTGGCTCAGTGGTTTGCCTCAAGTAGAAGTTTTGAGTGAAAATCCTTGTTGAGTGGTGATTTTTTTTTTATAAAATTTTAATTACTAACTCATCTTGTTTAGAGAAAGATATTACAATATTGAGAAAAATTAAAACAACATGATAGTTAACATTGAGGATTTGAACTATTTGTTAACATTTGATTACAAAGACCGAATGTCGCAATGGCTGTAGTGCTCAACTATCATGTGGAGTCTCACATTCAAATCCCTGTTCAGTCAAGATTTTATGTAAATTATTTTTATTATAGTGTTTACTGCATGCTCTTTGAATGTTCAGAAAAATACAAATAAAATTAATATCATATTACATAATAAACACCAGTGACTGTATGTGTCAAATCAACTTAGTGTCTTTTCAACCCAGTAGATAGCACCACAATACATTATTATTGAAGTTTCTTACATTCAGTAAGAGATTTGTAAAAATTTAAAATTAAAAAAAAAGCATTTTTTTATGAAAAGTTATATTTTCCTGTACTTGCCCTCTACCATCAGATTATTTGCCATCACACTTAATAAATAACAGAGTTAGACATTTAACCATGTAGGAATATTTCTTTGAGATCTAGTTTTTCACATGATTCAATATCTAAGACTTTATCAAGAAATAGATTTCAACAAAAAATAAATATATATATACATTAGTCAAAATTATAATCAAGCACCTCTTACAAGAGGTGATAAAATTTACACAAAAAATGTTGTTTTCATGAAATACTAGAAAAAAGGGATAAACATTCTTTATAGATATATTGTTAGTGTAATATAATTATTTTTTAGAAAAATTTTCATAAGACATTTATTTAAATCAAATTTTTGGAAGAAAAATTATTCAGCATTTACTGTCATATGATTGGCATTCAACTAGTGAGGAATAAAACTGATTCAAATTGTAAAATGAAAGAAAGTGTTTTTAACGTTATTTTTCAAAGACTTGTATGAACCAAATTTTGCAAATTTCATAGTGTAAAAAGTGGTATAAAAAATAAATTAGTTTGTATGATTTTATGCCAAAACTAGATATATTTAATAAGCTTTTACTACATCTTGGACAATTTGGTTAAGTATTTCTACTGTGAGAAAGAAATAAAATCGAAGGATTTCAATGTCTGTGTCCCATATAACTACTACTACTATTCTGTTAGAGTTGTGTTAGTGTTCAAACCTTTCATTGGAGCCCACTCTAATATTGCATTACATAAGACCTTGCACATTGTTTTTATGATCTAATGTAATACTGTTTATTGTTATGATCTGTTATAAGTACATTATAAGTGACTTTTTTATTAATACTATTATGTTACTTCATTTCAGACTTGAGGACAATTGAGAAACGAATACAAGAGCATCAATATGAAAAGTTAGCAGACTTTATTGGTGACATGACCAAAATATTTGACAACTGTCGCTACTATAATCCACGAAACTCTCCATTTTACCATTGTGCTGAAATACTGGAGTCTTATTTTGTGCAAAGAATTAAAGCATTCAGAGAAATGATTAGATGATGAGCTAATTCTTTGGTGTGCTTTATATGTTAGTGTGATGCTACCCTTGTGGTTGAGAACCTTGGAAGAGACCATCTGTAAATAAAATATATAAAAAAAATATATATATACATATACACATGTATGTTTGTGTGTGTGTGTGTATATATATATTCACACACACACATATACATATATATATATATATATATATGTGTGTGTGTGTAACTGAAAAAATTGTAAGTATCAAACTAAATATAACATATGCACCATAAGGAAGATGCAAGAATGTCATTCCAGTAGGAATATAATTTCCTCCTTTTAAAGTATGCAGATGAGATCTTTGGCTCAAAGTTATGACACAAGTTAGGAATGTGGAGATAAAAAAAAACATTTTGCGCTTTATGTAACGGGATGTACATATTTGAAATAAGTTTTTCTGTACATATACGTTACAGTAGTCAGTAAGTATTTTTGACAAATGGAAAATTTACTCGTGTTTGTTAGGTTAAGTTTTTTTTTTGTACGAACAATAATAAAAGAGATACTTGTTTGTCTCTTATTTAGCAAATGTACCTATGTCTCATATTCTCATCAGTGCACAATATCAAGGTAGGTTTATTTCAGAAATGTGGAAATTGGAACCACCTGCATACTCATTACAATATTGATGCAATTTTTTAACCTTTTCTATTTTGGTACAAAGTTAACATTAATGAATATGTATTTAATTAGCATTATCCCTTTAGTTATTGTATCTTTTTGTTTTCAAATAAGTAATTTAAATACAGACATATGCGAAACAGTGTCAGGTATGGCCAGTCTGAAACTCTATCTAGAATTCTTATTTCATTTTGATCATATTTAATTGGGAATATTTTTATAAACAAAGATAATAAAGCTTAATTGGTTTATGTATTTAAAAAAATTAAAACCATTGAAGATTAGGATTTTTTAAATTAAAATAATCTCTGTAAAATCAATGAAATGAAAAGGGATATGTTTTAAAAGTAACTCAGGTACCACCTTTCTGAATAAGGCACTATCACATGTACATACTTTTTAAAATATTTTAAAACCAAACCCATCAGCTTTAAGTCTCCTTTAAAGGTTATTTTATTAAAAAGTTGTCAGTGATGATGTGATTAGTCACAAAATACCTTTTCAACAAAAGTATAATTTAAAACTTCAAAGGAATAACATAAATAACATTCTGTTTCATAAATATTTAATTCCAACTTTGTGATAATTGAAAAACTTGTAGAAAACTTGATGTTTTTCTGAATATTTTAGTAACAGGATACATTTTCTTAAAAGGGGTTAACTCTTTCTTCATTGTAATTATATTGCCTCTGTTTTGAGTGATTTTGGTAATTCTGATTATTTGATTTGCATAATTTTCTGTTTCACAGTGCCATTAATTTCAGGTGTGTGAAAAATAAAATAATTATTATTGATTATAAGTTAAAATCTAGATGCTATTATTAAGTGTTAGTAGCATTCAGACATTTGCATGTTATATCAAATGGTATCCCTTCTAAAAAAGAACTATGAATGCAATAAGTTTTGAATTGTAAGTGACTTTGTCAGTTCTGCTTATATATCATTATGTATTTCATAGTTATTTAATGATTTGAAAATTTAATTTATCTTGATGTACAGAAAGGAGAATTTTACAAAATGATGATGCTACAAAAATCATACACAGTTCATATTAGAAACTTTTTTTTGTATTCAAATGGCATTAGTGCTCCACGAGTTGTTTTTTTCTAGCAGTTTAAAATGGAAAGTGTTTATTCTCTCGCAAGATTATCCTGTTATTCATTTTTAAAATTATAGTTCAGTCTCTTGTATTCTACAAGAAGTCAGATGATATTTTGTGCAGAAAACCTTTCATTATCAGTATAATACTGTACTTTGGGTTTCTTTTGGATTGTGTGTGTTTGATCATTTTTTCCAAACTTGCAAGTGGGGGGTTATATTGAAGAAAAGCTCCAAGCAAAAATTATATCTTTGAGACAACTCATGAATTGAAAGGTGTTAAAGAAATCATAATTGTTCAGTGTTAGCACAATATCATCGGTTATTCAAGCATTAGACCTTGTTGCTAAAATGTGATAGATATTTTGTATTGATTCACAAATATTTGGAATAGGCTATACAAGTTCTTAGTAATGTTACATAATCTTCACACAAACAACCCGTTATAATGGTTTCTATAAAACTATGTGCTTATTTTAACAAAAATGATATAAATATAGTCTAAAGAATTTGAAACAGTATAATTTTTTAACCCAAACCAAAAAGCTGTCCACGAGTTTTAGAGCATTAGTTCTTTAGTATCAGCAATATTTGTCTTGGCTGGTATGTAGGTTTTATTTGTTAAAAGTTTTTGTACATCTTTATGCTGTTCCACGTGTCTAGCATCATTCTTCCCTTTTTTTATGTGATGTGTTCATATTGTAAATTTGTATTAACTTCATTCTAATTTAACATTTGTTTACAGTTTTATTCTTGTCAATCAAATAAGTCATAACAGGGTGAAAATCTAATAATAGTCACTTTTTGTATGTTTAGTGGCAAGAATTAATTCTTCATTGTATTTCACACATTTGTGATAACACATTATAACATACAGGGATAAACCATTTTCAACCTAAATTTGGGCTTTTTACATTACATTTTACAAACACTGTAAGATAATATCTCCCCCCCCCCCCCAAGTTTAAAAAAAAAAGTTCACATTTTACCGTTAACATAGATACATTTGCAAGGGTTATTATTAGTATCTGATTTTTGTCTGCCATCTTATAAAGTTAGTGATTATTATTTTTTAACTTAATTATTTACATCAGAAGGTTTTGTATCATCCAATTCAGCCATAAATAAATATTTTCTAATTTTTGTTCTGTGAAAAACGTTCGGCAAGCTTTCGTTATACCGCTAATTTACTAAGTTTACTAGGTGTTCACTTAACGCTCATACAAATCATACAGGGGTTAATTTCTGTAAGCAATAAAATGGAAATATATTTGGTACCACGTTAAGCTGGAGTTCTAATAAAACTTATACCTTTGTTTCTACTGTGAAAAAAAAATCCCAGTTCGTTTTCAATAATTCTAATGAATTGTTCCCTTACTTCTTTAATTTGATATTTATATTTTGTTCTTCTCTTGATTATATATATATATATAGTAATTCGTAACGTTTGCAAATTGATTTTTAAGGCTGTAGTTTATTTAGCAAGAATATTTGAAATTTATAACTTGAGTCCAGCGAAATGTCTCTATACTTGTATTCATTTACATGACATTTCGAAGCAATCTTTTGCCATTATTTTCCCTATGTACTACTAAAAAAAGGAAATCCTAACGTTTGTGATAATAGTATGCAGAAAACATAATTTGAAGCAAAATGACAGAGATCGCTTATTTTTGTAAAAAGAAACATTAACGTAATTGTCTGGGATGTCAAATTTGAACATCTAAATAAGGTTTTAGATAGCTGTGTTCAGAAGTTGACAATGTATTCCAGTATATTTCACGTAATGTTTATTTATTGAAACTGTGTTTAATTTACTTCACTGAAATTAAAGAATGTACTCTCCTCTGTCTTCTCATGTGTATATATATACATCTATCCATGTCGTAAGACTAGTTTTGGCTAGAATGTTTCTTTGATGTCGATGCCAACTTTCTAGGACTCTGTATATCGTCGTTTGTATCTTTAATAAATTATCATAAAGTCGGATAACAAGTTGAGTTGGTGTTATCAATTAGTTGCTGTCTTCCTGAAATAAAGTCCGAATGGCGTTTTTTCAATGTTAAGAGTTTGCAGCAAGCTTAAAGAAAGAAAAAAAAAAGAAGTTGCAGTCTCGTCGTTTTTAAATTGATATAGAAGAAGTAACTGAGTAACTTCAGATGTGAATATCTTACTGGTGGCTCGGAGAAAGCTTTTAAAATAATTAACCAACAGCTTCAGCACTTTCATCAGAAGCTAATCCTCAAAATATTCTCAGAATGTGCCATTTTACAGTGATCTGTGGTAGTATTTTACTTGATGCCTAAACAAGAGTAATAATTTCTTATTATATTGTCTTATCAATTGTATTTTTCATAAATATATGAAATCAATAAATATAACTACATCCGAAACTTTATGAGAGGGTTAAAGGTTCGGAAAATGAAAACGTTTAAGAAGTTTATAGTAAAGTGACCCACAAATTATTCATGTTTGGGCAAGTGTGAAGTACAACGTAGTTAAGTCTTTTAGTTCAACTTTTTGTCTTAAACAGAAGTGACATATGTTGGATTTGGATTACATTTTTACAGGGTTCGCACAAGTCATGAAAATCTTGGAAAGTGATGGAATTTAGTAAAAAAAAAAAAATGTGTACTGAAGAACGGTTTTTATCAGGAAGTTCTGCAAAAGTTGGAGGTCTAATCCATCACTCCCACATTCATTGTTTTTATTGGTGATAAGCTGTACCATTGTGTTTATCCTAGTTTGGCAAAAAGCATTCTTGAAAACGTGACTCGTAAAATGGGATATTAAGGGACTTGGCAATACCAACTGCAACTATTTTGAAATGGATTAATCGTTTTCAGAAAATCGAATCAAATAATCATCGGCCATTTTGAATCAAATATTAGAAAACATGAAGGTATAGAAATAATCAAAACTGCTAAGTAGAGAATATGATAAATATTTTGTACCCTTTTCTAGAAACTGCATGGATTTGTTCTTGATTTAACGGATCAATTTGTGTTGTATTATATAATAATAAACACTAAATATTACACTTTTATGTATGTTATTAATTAATTTCTTGTTTGCTTTGTACTCAATTAAACGACATCACTTGTGATGTTCCGAAATAGCCCCTTTTCTGTTGGCGAATCATGTAACGACCCAGAGAGTTCCTCACACTTGTGCCTTTATGGTTCCATTGACCGACGCTCTATATTAAACTAAACACACACGTGCGCAAATGAAAATTTCAAAACATTATACATTAAACGATTGAGTAGCAAACGCATAATGTGCATGCATGCCACAATGGACTTTAAAGGCATTTGGCAGGCAAGTACTAGAACAAAATATCTTAAAGGTTGTATAAAATTCAGTAATTTTATGGATAAACTAATAATGAAATTTACTCTAATTTATTGTAGAATTTTTAACAAAAACTTTACTATATTTTCTTGTAACATTTGCCCCTTCTCTGTCATTGCCTGTGGCTAGCATGTCAGACTTAGGCTAACAAAGCTGTAGCCTAATGAATTTCGAAAGAAAAAAGACCCAATACTCGAATAGTTGACTATAGTTTTTGGGAGAATCAATAGCTATATATTTTTATCAGCCCCATATTTGCTTAGGAATAACTGCACATGTCCTACTTTGTGAGTATGTTTTAGAGAAAGCCACAATGGATTATCTGCTGTATCCACACTGGGGAACAGAACCCCGGCTTTTAACATTGTAAGTTCGTAATCTTACTACTGACCAACGGGGGGGATAGGGTACTACTAACTAATTGTTCTCCATCTAATCAGCTGTTCTAAATTAAGGATGGCTAACGGGAACGCCATGTGTGAGGAGGCATCTGCCTCTCTCCAAGAAGATGAGAAAAACCTAACAATAAACTATCAGCTTTTTGCTTTCATTGTGTGTGGTGTTGCGGTATATAAGTATATCATGTATTATTTTATCACCTCTAGTCATAGAGAAATGTTCATGTAGTTTTGGCATGAGAACAGCTGGAGTTTCTCTGTTCAAGCAGCAACTTTTCTCTCCATTTTTGTACAAAGTGTCACTTCCTATGTTGGTAAAAAGATAGAGTCGCCATTTAGTTAGCTGAGGAGACGACATTTCTATGTCTATAAATGAAAATAGTATGAGAGAAGGTTCAACCACGTGACCATGCCATTGTAAAAGTTGGAAAACTAAGCTTTCACGTGATAACGAAAGCTTCGTTTTTTTTTTCTTTTTTTTTAGTTCAGTGCTTTTTGGTTTTCTACCTAGGTCAATACTATTTGGTTTTCTCATCATGGAAACTTTGACGTTCATGGCTTTATCAATTACTTAAGAGCCAAACCTTAAGGAAAGTCAACTTTGCCAATGCTAATTACACTGAAAATAGAGGCGAAACCTGGAAAAATGCGGGACTTGTTGTTGTGTCCTATTGGAGGGTGCACCGTTACGCCCCTATAAATGGTGTCAAATGTGTACACGCCTTCCGAAATCCAATAAATATTTGTTGGTGCTTGGATTCTCCCAAGTGTCAAACAGGTTTCATGAAAGAATTGACAGGAAGGGCTCCCAGAAAGTACCAACCACCAAAGGGGCCCACAAGCATCTGTTATAATGCTTTTACAATGACAGTGATAGGTGTCCATATGAATCAACTGGCTCATGGATTATCAACAGTGAGGATCTTTGGCCTCAATGAAGGTGCCTGAATGTTTTGGGTAGGACAAGCTACCCCTAGACACAGGAAGATCATCTTCACAGCAGTCGTTAGTGAGGCACCACTAGCAAGTGAATCTTGGAGCAGAACCAGAGGATGGTGATGATGGAATTCCCAACATGGCCACCTAAAGTGATCGCAAACCAAACAACACTAGAACAGGTTATAGTGCTTAAAAGGCACTGCCACGAGATGGCTGCCAATTGGACAGAGATTTGTGCCTTATACAATCATGAGGAATATAACCTGTTGTGAAAGGTAACCCCTCAATCTCATTAAGAGGAGGAAGAATGGCACATATGTAGCCTGTGATTGACTACTAACAAAATATCAACATGCTTCTTGACAAAGTCGGAAGTTTAAAGCAAATTAGGCTTAAAGTTAATTTTGATTGTTGGCTTGAGTTCAAAACAGAAATGGGGGAGAATTGTGTCTAGTCTGTTTATTTCTTGCTTAATTGAAACTTAGTTATTATTATATGTGGAGCACAGGTTGTTAGCTCTGTTTAGTAAGCATATAACAATGTTTCGTTTATACGTAAATAGGATAAAGTTATCAACGTGTGTAAGGAGACCAGTGGACGTCTTTTTTCGGTAAATTGATGTGGAAAATCCATTAGCTAAATTATTATTATTTTCAACCTCACGTGTAAATTTAATGGCAGAATGTTGTGAGTTAAGGAATTCTAAAATTTTTGAGCATTGATCACTATTATTAAAAATAATAAAAGTGTCATCCACATACCTTCTGTACAGGACAGGCCTAAATTTTACTTGGCAAGTGCCAAGCCATTTCTGTTCGTAATAAGAGAAATGCATTAGCTAAAGTTGGACTCAGTGGAGAGCCCATCGCACCGCCATCTATTTGTTCATACAAGGTGTTGTTGAACAAGAAATGTGAATTACTGGTGGTAAGATCCAGCATGGTCTTTATTTGATTCTCAGAAAAGTCATTTAGAGGAATGTTATTACGTGAAAGCTCAGATATACATATATTAATAGTTTCAATTAGAGGAATATTTGTAAATATGGAGATAACATCAAAGCTCGCCATGAAGAGATTATCTGAGGGGGGGGGTAGTTGATTTAGTTCACGTTCAAAGTGGAAGGAATCCGGGATAGTAGTGAATGGCTGAAGTATACGTACAAGGAAGTTTGTAACTAGGTGTGCATATAGCGGAAAAAAATGGGTCGGAGGGGGAACCTGCTTTATGAATTTTGGGAAGGCCATATAATATACCAGGACGGGAGCCAGTGGGATAAAGCGAAGAAGCAACATTTTCAGATATAATATTTTTGTTCTTTAGTTCTCTTAGGTACCTTTGGATTTTTTCCTCACGTTGGATGCTAAGAGTTTGTTTGTTTTGAATTTCGCGTAAAGCTACACGAGGGTTATCTGCGCTAGCCGTCCCTAATTTAGCAGTGCAAGACTAGAGGGAAGGCAGCTAGTCTTCACCACCCACCTCCAACTCTTGGGCTACTCTTTTACCAACGAATAGTGGGATTGACCGTCACAATATAATGCCCCCACGACTGAAAGGGCGAGCATGTTTGGTGTAACGGGGATTCGAACACGAAGATTGCGAGTCGAGCGCCCTAACCACCTGGCCATGCCGGGCCAGGATGCTAAGAGATAAAGGGTCAATGTTTAAAGTTTGAAATTTTGTAGAATCGTCCAGAATATCATGTATTTTATTAAGGTAGTCATTTTTGTTCAGAATAACAATGGCATTGCCTTTATCAGGGCGTGTAACATGGATGTTTTTATTTAGTAACAATTATTTTAAGGCTAAGATTTCGTCAGGGGTTAGGTTCTCTCTTGCTATTAAAATTATAAAATGTAGACAGAGAAAGATTTTAAATTT